ATAAAAATATAGACCACTGAATGTGTGTAAAACTAAAACCAAAACCTATACACCAAAAAACTTGTTTTTAAATCATAATAAAATTATAAATACGCTAAAAAGTCTGATACAATGGAAAGAATGTATACAATTCATACAATATTTACTATATCAATATGCTACCAAACATTTAGAATTTGACTGGTAATAGCATTATAAAATTAGTTGGGACTACAATGGCATATATTTGTACTGTCTAGGATTAAGGAAATCGTATCTTATACAATTGAACGGCGGTTATTTTCTAATAAAGGATAAAAACTAGCTTTAAAATTATTAAAATATACAAAATTCTCTTTTTATTTTTTTCCAAAGGATTTCTCAAATTATAGAAAAATGAGAAAATCTATAATTTTTTAAGTACGATTTCGGAATCTCCACCTAACACATGACAAATTGTATGACCGCCCAAAAACAAACCATGTCCTATATATATAACTACCTTAATATTTGTCCTAGATTAGCATATTCTATGAAGGCAGGAGCATATAACTAAATATTAATAAAGACATGTTGAGTTAAAAATATGAAATACATTCTCATACACAAAATTTTCAAGCAATATATATAAATATATAAATATATATTATAATTCATGAACTGATGATTTGATTATAATCTTGCTAAATAGACTTTAGCATATGGATTAATTGATCATTTGAAAATTTCCACATCGATCGATGTGAAAATGTTTCTAGATCTATTTGTTAAATATATCCCAAAAATGTTTTATCATTTAATCCAAAAATTGCTATTTTATTTGACAAAAAAATTGTTATTTTAGAATAAAATTTTGAATTACAATCTATTATCCAACTAAAGAGTTGATCATTTTTTATTCAGAACAAAAAGGATGGTGTTATCTGTTTGGGTTGAACTTTTGGGATATTAAATATGTCTAATTAAAACAAATAAATTTTTATTGTGCATTTATGAGTGGGTCGGATAAGAAAATTGAAAGATCTAATTTAGATTTTATTTATAGATACGAATCTTCACGTAATATTATTAAAAAAAAAAGGACTGAGTTATTTATATTGATTGGTATTATGACATGATTAAGAAATTGGCTCACTAATCGACAAACGCAGCGTCGAGGTGAGTTTCTAGTGTTTTGGGTCTTGATTTGTGAACGTGGCTCTCTCTCTCGAACTTAGGGTTTTTAATTGGAAGTTTGAATATAAACAATTCTATCTCTATCTCTCTATTGTTTTTAATTTTAATATAATTTGATCTTATTTTAATTTTTTTCCTATGGTTTTTTGTCTTTCATTTTTCTAATTTTATTTAGGCCACATAATGATTTCCGCAAGTAGATTACCAATTTTCTCTTGAGCTTACCGAAGATTATGCAATCGATAGAGTTTTATTTTTCTACATTTATATATAGATCATTAGTTTGACGAATTATTAACGAATTTATATTAAATACACAAAACGAAGTTTCTGAGATCTGATTTCTACATAACAACATAAGAAATAATTAATCTCAAAATTTTTATTTTTTAATAAATAGATCATATGATATTGATAATTAATTCTAGAAATAATATTTTTTTATTTTTATTTTTTCCTCTAATTTTTTATATTGACATAAATTTGATAGATTAATTAAATAATAAAGGGTGATTAAAAGAATATGCTCTTAAATTGATTAAAATCCTTTGTAGTTTGTACGAGTCGATAAAATAAATTTTATTTATGATTCAATATTAAAATCTTAAAAATATTTATATTTTTTTATCATTTCATCACATGAAATTATTGTATAATTATTTAACTCATTTAATCTAACATGGTTTTTATGTATTTTATGCAAAGATTCTAATTATTATTAGATTACAAACAAAACTATATGATATTTTTTAAGAATACGATATGTTATGTGCCATCATTCCAAGTCCCACCATCACCACACAAATTATCCATATCATCTTTTAAATATTAGTTAAGGAATATCATGAATTTTTAATCACATATTTTTATAAACAATATTTTTGAAAAAAATCGACAAAAAATATATAACATTAAATCAGTGTAGATTGTTATATAACTAATAATTTAATATTATATGAATTAGAATATAATTTCTTTTCTACAATGTAAATAAATTGAATCTATCAAAAAAAATGAAAAATTTAAAGATAACGACTGTAGCATTCATTTTGATAATTAATATATTCAAATTTTATTCTAAATATTTCTCAACGTTTTGTAATATCATAATAAAATAAAAATGGTGTTTAAAAAAAATATATTGTTAAATCATTTTATGCATTTCTGTAAGACCAAACGACACAAACTTTCGCTAAAAACAATGTTCAAAATTCCAACAAATTCCTGATTGAACATCAATTAACAATTGATAAAGAGCAATTTAATTTACGAATTTATGGAAGATAGTACATATTTTGCCGAAAAGTAATAAAGAAATGGAAAAAAAAGGATCAGATTCGCATCACGCCGAGTCCACCTGAGAGGGGGACCCAGATTCCGTACAGTCTGACGTGGACATGTTCAGGTTTTCTTTAAAACTTGTTGGCCACTTAGGGTTTTGATGACGTGTCCTTCATTAAACTATATCATCTTATGTTTTTGACCCCCAAGTTTTCTCCTTTTTCTTTCTTTGCCCCACGTTTGTTTCTTTCATCTAACTTTCATTTTTTCCCTGCGTAAATTCATATATTATAATTTTGAAGATGTTCAGATTTTCTTTACGTGGACATGCTCAGATTTTCTTTAAAATTTAAAATATTAAAAATACTCTTATCTATATATGAATATATATATATATAATAATCTAGAATATTCACCTTATATATAATGTGTTATTTCTACAACTTATTATACTGTACTAAACCTAACCAAAATAAAACTATACCCGTGTAATGAAAATAAAGATATAAAGATATGGTTTGGTAGAGGAGGAGGATGATAAATGCGGCGGGGGATGGCCCCCCGGGAGGGGAGGAGCTCACGTGACACACACGGTGGTTCGAGTGGGGAATTGCGACGGAGGACCCTCCACCCCACGTGACCGGTGGTATCAAAGAAGAGACATTGATTGTACATGGACCAGCTCTCTTTACCCTTCCCTTTATTTTTTGGGTCCTTATCTTCTCTCCTTTCCCTATTTATTTCTTATACTTGTCAGAAGAAAAAAATTGATGACAGCGAAATATCCTGCTGTTTTTTCATTGTAAATGTGACATTTTTTTTTTGAATTTTCAATAACTTTATAAAAGTTTCTATTGATTACTTTTTTAAAAAGAAAGGTGGTTAAGAAAAATCTATTTTTTTTTACTAACCAATTTAGATGAAAATTGTAATTTATTTTTATGATAGGAATGAAAAGGTTTACTAAATAGATCAAATTATCTTGGATTTCTATTCAATGGAATTGACGCATATTTAATATAAATTTAAAAAAATAAGCCTCTTTGTAGCCTATTGTTTTTAGATTCAAGCGTGTGGTAGCAGCCGCCAAATGGAAACCAAACAAGAACATTGTCAACAAAAATTATGAGATTGAGAATCTGACAGAAAAAATAATAATGAAAATGACAGATTGCCAAATTTCTCCACAATAATTCAAAGAATAAATGAATTATTAATCTTCTTTATAATTATGATTTTGAAGGATGAACAAAGAGAATACATAATTAAATTGCTTTTATCAATTGTTCAATTAGCAGACATTATTCACCACTAAAGTCGAAATTCTTGTTTTTATTTTTCTCCTGCTATGCTCCAAATATCAGCCAATCAAAAGATAATTTAATTTTAATAATTTTGAATAATTATATTCAATTTTTATTTTGAATCTTATAATATTTCAACTATAGTAAAAAAAACTAATTAATACTAATGTAAACGATTTACATTTAAAAGTTGGATGTAAAATCTAATTTTTATTAATATGTTTGTATTTATGGATGAAAATTGTTGACTAATAGTAAACATATGAATTGAAAAGAACTGCACGAGTATAAGTTTTTATAAAATAAATAATATTCTATTTTTAGTTGATATATTTTTAATTTATAAATATAAAAAATAACAAAGTATAATTTTTTATCTATTCATTTTAGTTAATCTTTTTACTATAATATTGAATTAAATTAAATATTAAATAATTTTAAAATTATAATTAATACAAATTAAAAAATTGACGGTAAATATTTAGACCATATGTTCATATTTTTAGTTTATATTTTACGATATTAAAATAATAAATTATGAATATATATTATGGAATATGATTACATGGACGTACTTTACTCACACGCTTACCTATAAATGTGTAGTGAGATCAAATGACGTTTCGATTTTTTATTGGCTGTCGTATTTAATATTTGTTAAATTTTAGGAGAAAGAGAAAAAAGGAGAAATTATACTGTATTATATTTTAGAATTTATCCATGGAAGCAAGTGCGCATATATATATATATGTGTGTGTAAATATGTATAGATATATATATGCATATATATTGTTTGAGAGACGTATGTTGATTATATATATAATGGATGTTACATGAACACATATTCATAGTCGACGATATATATATATATATATGATTATAGACTACCCTAAATAGAAATATAAATGAATTTGGACTGGGCCAAATTGAGTGTGATAATTGATTTGGGCCATAAAACTACAGTTGGCCCAATAAAGCCCATCTTCAAATTTAACCCAGCCTTACAGAAAAAAGGTTCGCACTTCCGTTTGGTCATATAATCAACAAAAATTACGTCGTCCAATGAATTTGTTTTTTGTTCACATAAATAAACTTTAGTGTTTTGAATTTAGAATTTTAAAAAGAAAAAGAAAACCAAAGGGCATTCTAAATAAAGAAACGAATATTCCAAATATGATACTTGGAGTAAAGGAGTTAATGTAGTTATGCACTTGTAAACATCTCCAGATTTTATAGTTTTTTTTTTTACAACTCTGTAATTCAAGTTGTGTTGTGACAATTATTGTCCCAAAAAAAAAAATTTGAGGAAGCGTGAAAGAGTCGATTTTTTTTTTCCAGGAAAGAAAAGGGAGGAAAAGTTGGAGACAATAAGCAACAGCACGATACTCGTCGCGGTTGAACGCGAAGGAAGAAATCTGCTTCGGAGCTCCATTACCAGTCATTGAGCAAAGGAAGAACTAGGATTAGGTGAAGTTTGTTGACAATTTGTTTTTTATGGCTCTCTGATTTCTCTCTGTTTTCCGCCATTTTCAGTCTGAAGTTTATTCGTTTTCTTGTAATTTATTACGTTTTCGTTTAAATCGCCGTCTATCGAAGACCCGTGGTTTAAAAGTTCGGCCTTTTTCGGCTAATTTCTCCGTCAAAATCTGGGTTCCGCCGGAGATTTCTAGGGTTTTCCGCAAGGTGGGTGCATTTCGTTTGCGGTGCTATTTGATGGGTATTCTCTGATTTTACCGGCGCATGCTTCAATTTCGCAGGTGGGATTTTAGGATTTGGGAAAATTTCGCACCGTCTTCCCAAAATCGTCGAGCCCATAAGAATAAGATCCTCGACTGCATCCAAATAAAGGGATACAGAGATTGCTGTTCCCTCGGTTGAACCTGTAACCGAAGCCTTAGGTCTCAAAGGTATGTGTTTTTCTCTGAATTTTGAATTCAGATCAGTGAAATATGACGCTGGATGTGTATGTATATTTGTATTTCTCTGGGTATCTGAATCTGTGCTCGTGGGTTCATGCTTTAATTTGTGTGTATCTGGGTATTGTAAACGTAGCTTTTGGTTGCATTCAGTCTGCGTCCTCCGTTGATTGTTTATCTTCGAGTTGATTTGCAGGAAATGTCACTCTCACTCTTGGGGTTTAGGTTAGGGATTCAGGGCAAGAGAATCTTTTTATCCTCTCAATTCCTCAGTTGGATGATTGTTTTGTAAGAAGCTGTTTGTTGATTTCTCTCCTCATGTTTTTTCAACTTCATGTTCCGTAAACTCTTTACTTTTTTGTGTATTGGTGGTTACATAGTCGATGATTATTGTTTTCATTACAGGAAAAGCATGTTAAAGAAAGTGAAATACCTATTCTTGCTGAATTTTCGAGCTCTTTTAGGGCTTTTTAGCTGTGTGTCTATGGGTTTTAGAAGTTTCGTATATGCGATTGAAATGCCTCGAGAGTACGTTATCATCGACAGTTAGTAAAAAAGGAACAGTCTTATATGGAGTAGAACTGTTCTGACATCTGTTTAGTTGTTGTTTCGGCTAATAACGGTAACGGTTCTTTCTATCTTTCATTCTTTCTTTCCATTTCAGCCCGATAGTTTGTACATTCATCGTGGGGGTTTTACCGCATTACCAGCGAGAGACCTTCTCAACATGAACAATCAATACCTTCAAGATCATGTAAGCCACTGAAACATTAGGAAAAAAATCATCTCCAGAAGCAAAATCTTCAAGAAAAAACAGTTCTTGATCTTCTCTTCTTCTTCTTTTTTTCCTTACACAGGAGAGCATGACAGTTGCAGGGTTCGAAGTTCCGATATCGCCTGCCTCGAGCTACGACAATGCAAACCCTGGAACGGAAGATGAATCCCGAGAGCCTCCATCAGTCCCACCTCACCTTCAGCAGTCTCTGGTTGGGTTCCCGGCAAGCGCAGAGACGGTTCCTTCACCTCAGAACGTCGTCCTGAACCATCTTTACATCGAAAACCGTGAGGCCCCTAGATCTGTCGTGGCCCTTGGGTTCACCCATCGGTTCAGGTCTAAGTACGTGACCGTTGTGCTTTACAAACCGGTTCAAAGAAGAGGTAATAATGCCAGTGTCTGATATTTTAAGCCATTATGGATTTGGCCTTTTGTCCGGTTAAGCCCGGTTTACGAAACCAGCGGGTTAGACTCTCTTTTTTATTATTGTTATTCTCTCTTACCGATTCAGTTCGGTGGTTGGTTAGGTAACTTGATTGAAATTTGAAACTATCTCGTTGCTTTTGTATAATTACCTGCATTTTAAGGGGTAAACGTTTTTAGATATTTTTTTTTATCTGCTTGTTATATCTGCTAAACCGGTTTGCTTAACCGAGTTCGATAATCTGACCATGATTTTTAATATCTCATTAAAACTAAACTTTTATATCCGTGCGGTTTATTGGCGATTTCGGTTCGCTCCCTGTTCGACCAAATAAATCCCTTATTCGGGAATCAAACCGGACGGTTAAGCACGTTAGCGGCCATTACATGTTCCATATGGTTTTCTACTATTACCAATATAATAACATAATCTTCATTTGATTTTATGTGAATGAATATTCTTATAATCCATCAAGATTCCATCCTCTCTGTGTCCGGCCGCATGCGTGGACCGGTGGATTCAACCGACGATTATAATAATCGGCTAATTAATGCCATAAGTTTCTAAATGTAATACTTTAAAAAATTTATATATATACGTCACCATCTCAATTTGGTAATGATAAGAGTGTGAATGTCTTTTATTGTTAGATTAAGAGATGACAAGTTGACAACCCACAAGAATGAATTGTCATGAAAAAATAAATTATAATAAATAAAATAAATGGATAATCTCTTGTACGGCCGAAGGGGTACTATGAAATTGTTGGTATTAATTTATTAAGTTAATTAGAATTATACATTGGTGTATGCATACTAATTACACACACATGCATTACCAAGTAGAACTTATTGTATTGAATAAACCTTAGCTTGGACTAAACAAAACAAAAATTGCATACCTGAAAATGGCATTACAACTTTTTTTTACATTCTTATTTGATTATTTGATCGAATTATCAAATTAATTACAGGTACTGTAAATCTTTATTTCGGATAACCAAATGTCAATTTGATTTTTATTTGACCAACCAACAAATTTTAACTACCTTTTTTATTATGTAAAATGCTTGTAAACTATCACAATGATAAATATCTAATGCGATATTATTTGCCCACTCGTAGAATGTCGTCACCTCAGGCTATACTTACACACATATTCACATATGCGCATACATATGTAAATGCTATAATAATTAAGGACGATGATCTCATCAACAAGTTGACTTTTCGCATTCTTGTCTTTTCTTAAATCCCCAACTTGAGGGAGCGACGACACGTCAGCCAGATTTATCAAGGCCGTTGACATTTAATTACGCGTCTCACGACAAACCATATCATTTGCCCAATTTACCGACGTAATTCCATACGTGTATATATATACATATTATATATATATATTCAGATATATATATACACACACGTATAATTCGTACATAAAAGCGTATTACGTATAAATTCCCCTGTCAATATATGTCATACATTCACAAACTTGTGCGAGTTCCAGAAATCTAAAGGTTTAGATCTTTTTTTTTGTAAATATTTTCACGTATTTGATTAAGAAAGCCTTTTGTGTAAATTTTAAAATTTTAGATTTTATAACATATCTTTTGGGTGGTATAGGGAGTTGTTAGTCTGTAAACATGTATTCGGATGAATGGTTCGACGTCAGAATTGAAAATTATATACATTTTAATTCACAATTATAGCTTGGTCTAATCGTTGAAATTTTTTAGTTTTGAAAAAAGTATATACCAAAACCATAAATTAAACTCGTTGAAGTCTAAAGCAATCGTTAGGGATTTGAAGAGACAGCTAATCTCCAGCTAAGCTACACTTAATCCGACCGTCGAGGAGACATCAATTTACTTAATGGCGAGATAATATGATTCTCTCTTGTAACATGGATTGGATTCTATAACAATGGAGAGGGAATTCCGATAATGCCCCCATGCAATTTTGTTACAAAATGAAATAAAAATAGAAGACACGTCTGGAGATTAGTCGGTCCAAGAAGATCCGGTGCTCGTTATTAAAAGAAAATAGATGTGAATTTATCGGTTCATATATGGTCGCATATATATAAGGATATTATCGTAATTATATATTAACGTGATTTAATCTAGTACTATCGTTTACATACTAAATCTATAAATATATATTATCATTTATGTTGCTATGATAATACATATATGAAAGGTTATTTTGTACGTATTATCACACTGTACACGAAACATTTAGTATAAAAGACTTCGTGCATTTTAATATATAGATCTAATATATGTAGAAACGCTAAACGGAACAGTGTGTATATATATGTATATAAAAGGGTGTAATAGTAATTAGCCACGTGGATACGCAACCTTTCAGATAAGCGAGCGATTAGTTATCAAACCTTTCTGTAGATGCATGCGGCGAAAATGGAATCCTACGAATAAATATTTAAAAGTTACACGTTAACCGTTGAGAATCTCCATCGGCTCTTTTAAATTGTCAACGTTACTTACACCATTTACATATATATATAACCTCGTCTCCCGGCGAAAAAGAAACACATCCTGAAATCCATTTTCGTATAGAAATTCAGGGTTTATAATTTCTTGAGATTTAAGAAAAAAATAAGAAAAAAGATTTCAAGAAATGGGTGATTCGGCCGGAGAACCAGGAAGCTCCATGCATGGAGTCACCGGAAAAGAACAGTCCTTCGCCTTCTCGGTGGCTTCTCCCATGGTTCCGACCGATACGACAGCGAAATTCGACTTGCCGGTCGATTCTGAGCACAAAGCGAAGGTCTTCAAGCTGTTCTCGTTCGCCAAACCTCACATGAGGACGTTCCACCTCTCCTGGATATCCTTCTGCACCTGCTTCGTCTCCACGTTCGCGGCCGCTCCTCTCGTCCCGATCATCCGAGAGAATCTCAATCTGACCAAACAAGACATCGGAAACGCCGGCGTCGCCTCCGTGTCGGGAAGTATCTTCTCGAGGCTCGTGATGGGAGCCGTCTGCGACCTCCTCGGACCGCGTTACGGCTGCGCTTTCCTCGTCATGCTGTCGGCCCCCACCGTCTTCTCCATGAGCTTCGTGGCCAATGCCGGAGGCTACATCACCGTCCGGTTTATGATCGGGTTCTGTCTGGCGACGTTCGTGTCGTGTCAGTATTGGATGAGCACGATGTTCAACAGTCAGATCATCGGTCTGGTGAACGGGACGGCGGCCGGGTGGGGGAACATGGGCGGAGGGGTGACTCAGCTGCTGATGCCTGTGGTCTATGAGATCATCAGGAGCATTGGCTCGACGCCTTTCACGGCCTGGAGGATCGCTTTCTTCATCCCGGGATGGTTGCACATCATCATGGGTATCTTGGTCCTCACGTTAGGTCAAGATCTGCCCGATGGCAACCGGAGTGTCCTGGAGAAGAAGGGAGATGTCGCCAAAGACAAATTCTCCAAGGTATACATACACACACATATATATATATATATATATATATATATATTATGATCTTGATCTTGAAGAGGGCTAGTTGTGTGACTTGATGTTTGTGATTGTGATGTACAGATTCTGTGGTATGCGATCACAAATTACAGGACATGGGTCTTTGTTCTTCTGTACGGATACTCCATGGGAGTTGAGTTGAGTACGGACAACGTCATCGCCGAATACTTCTTCGACAGGTTTGTTTCCGTACATATCAAGTCTCCAAACCATATATACATGATCTAAGCTTGGAGTTAAATATTGGTCAGACCAAATATACTGGTGATTTGTAATGATAGTATTAATATATATATATATATATATATATATATATATCCATTTCACTTTGAAACACATAATATTAACACATGAATATTGTTAGATCATTTTAAGTTTTTCGAACTTGTTTTTTTTTGTAACATGAACACACTATAAAATATGAATTTGTAAAATCTTATTTGGATTCATATTGTGGGTCGTTATAATTTTGAAGAATAAAAGTCAAACCTTTTAGGATGATTATAAAAGGAGGGGATATTAATTTGAATTTGCAAAACTACCTCTCAAAGTACTTGTTCAACAAAACATAACCTAAATCATACACATATCACACAGTTTCATTATTTTAAATACTTTTTTTTTTAATTTGCAGGTTCCATTTGAAGCTACACACAGCAGGATCTCTATAGATCTTTATTCCTAGAATATAGGCCGCGGTGGCTACGCCTCGGACATAGCCGCAAGGTACTTCGGCATGAGAGGTCGGCTATGGACACTCTGGATAATCCAAACCGCAGGTGGTCTCTTCTGCGTATGGCTAGGCCGAGCCAACACACTGGTCACAGCCATCGTAGCCATGATCCTCTTTTCCTTCGGAGCACAAGCCGCTTGCGGAGCCACCTTCGCCATCGTCCCCTTCGTCTCCCGCCGAGCCCTAGGGATCATCTCCGGCCTCACCGGAGCCGGCGGGAACTTCGGCTCGGGCCTGACCCAGCTCATCTTCTTCTCGACCTCCAGGTTCACGACCGAGGAAGGGCTGACGTGGATGGGCGTGATGATCGTGGCATGCACGTTGCCGGTCACGTTGGTGCATTTCCCTCAATGGGGGTCCATGTTTCTGCCGGCTTTTTCCG